AAGTATTCTCCGCGAAATTTGACACATTTTTCCATACGATGGAACCAATCATTGAAGCAACCATTCCATTCGGAAGTTGGGGTCTCCAAAATGGCCGTTTTGTAGGCGTCCACAGCTTCTTCAGGTGATGAAAATCTCTGTCCACGCAATTTATTCTTTATTTTAGGGAAAGTATAGAAATCATTAGGGCTTAGGTCGGGGCTGTACGGCGGATGGTCTAATAATTCTATGTTTTCTTGCTCTAAAAACTCTTTTGTTCTGTGCGCGGTGTGAGAACTCGCATTGTCGTGATGGAGGATGATGCGGCGGTTGCAGTTCTCTTTACGGAGTTCAGAAACGACCTGTGGCAAACAAATGCTAGCATACCATTCTGCATTAACCGTTCTTTGTCCCTCAAGAGGAATAGTCGTAACATGGCCGGTTTTGGAGACAAACGTGGCCACCATTTTTTTTGCAACACTCCGTGAACGAACAATTTTTGTTGGCTTTAACTCATTTTCGAACACCCAAACTCGTGACTGGTTTTTTGTTTCGGGTTCGTACGCGTATATCCAGGATTCGTCACCTGATACAATGTTGTATACAGCATTTGAGGATCCTGCGTGGAATCTTTCGAGAGTTCTGACGCACCAAGTAACGCGAGCCGCTTTTTGCTCTTCACAGAGCGAATGCGGTATCCATCGGGAAAACAACTTTTTTACACCTAATTGTTCATGCAAGATTATTTGTATTTGACTCATGCCAATGTCTAAAGTTGCCTGAATTTCGCGGTATGTCACATGTCGATCTTCCTCAATCAGCTTACGCACAGCATCAACGTTTTCTTGGGTGACTGCAGTTTTTGGACGACCTTGACGGGGATCATCACTGAGCTTGACACGTCCACGTTGAAACTCAGCAAACCAGCGATAAATTGTGGTTTTGGATGGGGCTTCATCACCAAATGCAGAAATCATCCGGTCAAGACACTGTTTTTGTGTTAAACCACTTCGAAAGTCATAATAAATCATCGCTGTTGAATTTTCTCGAGTCAATTCCATTTTCTCAACGGCTAAACAAGTTTGACAAAACCTCGTGACAAGACCGAGAATCTTTTTTTAAATAAATAAATGGTATTCGATTTTTAAAATCAAGGAGTTTTCAATTAAAAAGATTTTAATATGACAGGAACAGTGGAAATATTCCATTCCCGATACTTTTAGTGCAGCCTAGTAGTTAAAAAAAATACCTTTGATCAGCCTCGAGCAATTTTTTTCTGATTATTTATGACCTGACCCGTAGTCGTCCACAATTTTTTTTTTTTTTTTTTATTGCCCTTGTAGGCAGACGAGCATACGGCCCACCTGATGGTGAGTGGTTACCGTCGCCCATGGACTTCAGCAATGCCAGGGGCAGAGCCAAGCCGCTGCCTACCGTATTATTGAGTGCTATTGAGTCATGTTCGACCAAACAAAATTAATATTGTTACTGCACTATGACTTTCTCGTTGCATAAATCAGTTGTGCGTTCAGTGGAGCGTTGCCAATAATGTTTATTGTGCACGATTTTAATGAGTCTGATTGCGTAAGAAATGTTTTATTTTTTATTGCTTAGATGGGTGGACGAGCTCACAGCACACCTGATATTAAGTGGTTACTGGAACCCATAGACATCTACAACGCAAATGCGCCACCCACCTTGAGATATAAGTTCTAAGGTCTCAAGTGTAGTTACAACGGCTGCTCCGCCCTTCAAACCGAAACGCACTACTGCTTCGCGCCAGAAATAGGCAGGGTGATACCTACCTGCGCGGACTCACAAGAGGTCTTACCACCAGTAATCCTCCAGTATCATCTTCCTTTTCAAGTTTTATTAAGAAATTCCTGAAATGTTTTTTGGTGGAGACGGGCAGCGAACTTAAGGACTACCTGGTGACCTTGAGACTGATGTTATCCCATGTGCCGAAATGTGCAATAATACCAATCAGTATATGATTCTCAAATCATGTTCGACCACCACTAATTAATGAGTTGTAACTATACTGAGACCTTAGAACTCATATCTCAAGGTGGGTGGCGGCATTTACGTTGTAGATGTCTATGGGCTCCGCCAACCACTTAATAACAGATGGGCTGAGAGTTCGTCCACTCAACTATGCAAAAAAAAATCTATAAGTTTGCGATTTTCATTTTCGATACAAGACGAATTGCTTCATGTGGTGGTTAGGGACATTCGTGAAAATTGTTTGTTTGTCCGCATTGAGAACGACTACACATATTCGTATCACGCGATACGATCTGTATGTAATCTAGAAATGTTTCAGACTTTTAATCATTTATACAGCGGACCCCATTAAATGATAGCGCAAGAAACACAATTAAAACTATTAATACATTTTTAAAACCTTTTTTTTAATAGACTTTGTTGACAGACGAGCACACGGCCCACCTGATGGTGAGTGGTTACCATCGCCCATGGACTTCAGCAATGCCAGGGGCAGAGCCAAGCCGCCGCCTACCGTTTCGTAACAAGACTTCTACTTTCTCTAAATTATCATGGGTTAACAGTTTATGAGCTCTTGTTTCAAAATTGAAAGAATCTTATCTCGTTTGAAATTTAGTATAAAATCGAACATGCACACAAAATGCTTTAAATACATGATTTTCTGGTCACAAAAAAGATGGATATAGACCACCTGCAGTTTTTTCTTCTAAAATAATAAATTTGTCTTAAGTGTCCTCTTTACTTTTAAGAAAAAGTAGTTTTCTTGAGGGTGTGTCTTTTTACAGTAACGCGAGTGAAGTTGCGAGTAAAAGCTAGTAAACTGCAAAATTGCTTTTAACGGAGAGACCTCAAGAAAATAGACAAGATCTCTTATTTATTGATCTGGTTAGCATAAAGTTTCGTTCTAAATTGACAACACGAACCCATGCTGGATGTCTCGGTGTCAATTACTCATTGATGCGACCTCAATAAAATTATGGGAGAGCCCATTTCTAATTTTTACGATGTAACAAAATTGTAACAAAGTTGTGTTGCTAATGTTTGTCTACCTTCGTAATGGAAAAAAAATAAACATAATAATATGTCTGTCTACGCGTTGCCTTAACCCACAAACACAGCACAGTTTCTCGTCAGATCAGTGGATCGCGTTTCCGATCCGGTGGTAGATTCTGCGAAGCACGGCTCTTGCTAGGGTTTGTGTTAGCAACGTCGTCAGGCTTGAGCCACGCAAGCTCACCTAATCGCCCGTTGACGCCGATATGGTCTCTCAAGACCATCAGCTTAGGCAGGAAAAAAAACGCGTTCATTCGTGACTCACACGACTTCTTCTTCTTAACCTTATCCCACATTATGTGAGGTCGACGCAGCACGTCTTCTTATCATGCCGAATAGGGAGTTGGGAGTTTTATTATTGGCCGCCTGCATGATCTCAATTCTTCTTGGGTTAGATATCCAGTAGTGTATCGATTTTCCTTATAAAGAAAAGGAAAAATGGAATTCTTTTTACCCTAAGGGGGTCCACATTAGAAGGAGATTAAATTGCATGAGTAATAGATTTATTATGGTTACTAGTAATATAATTACTAAATAATAAATTAATTAATCTTCATCTTATTATTGTGAAATCAGATAAAGCTATTTTATTTATTATATATTTATTTTTATAGTATATCCATTGCGACGTGCCATAGGGGGGAGGAAGGGACTTTTCTATTTATTTTTTTAAGGTGTTACTTTTACTTCAACCGATTTAAAAAATATATATTTTTCAAATACGATAAGTTATAAATATCAAATTTTATTAGATATTTCTATACTTTTAAATTAATATAAAAAATTCTGATAAAAAAAACCTAAAGCGGTGTACGTAAAACTAAACTTTATACATTCGGTTGTCTTTTAGCAGACATGTCATTGACCATGATAAACTTGTTGACGTTTAGGTTTTAAAAGAATGTTTGTTTAACGAACATAGTTTCCTACACAGCTTGTGCTGTTTATTAGTCGTTAAATCGATAAGCTTAATATTCAAGTAGTAAGAAAAGCGATAAACGTATGATTAATGTTTCCCTATAAATCTATGTAAATAACTCAAAAAGTATTTCAAGTATTTTTATATATTTTAAATCAAATGATTACTCAAAAAAATACTCCGATTTAAATATATGCTTAGTTATATTCATGTAAAGTCAAACCGTAGTGTTTTGTAACGTAAATAAGTGACTCTTCCTAACGATTTGCAGCAATTATAATTATGAAGCTTACATTAACTAAAAATTGGATGATTATTAGTTATATTTAGTCACCAAGGGTACTTTCTGTCTCCTAATAGGCAGAGGTGGATCACTGACCAGCATCACACCTTTGTTCTCATGGTCAGTGACTCTTACTACTGATCCGTGCGTGGGTTCTACCTCGTTAAGAATTTAACGTCTTTGTTTCAGTTTATGCCTTACCTTGCCTACCTGATGGGTGTGGCAAAAGTGTGGTAAAAGGCGATCAAGAGATTTATCTGCGAATAGACAGCAGTGTTCTGTCTTGTATCAATGCACCAACCACGACGTACTTACGTACTGTACTATACTTTTTTACTGGTATTAGGGCGTCTTATGAAACGGGACCAAGATCATGTGGTGGAGGTCGCATTGGGATTGCCAGAACAAAAGAAATGTAGAGGCCGCCCGCCATCGACCGGGTGGTCAAACATAGAAAGAGACCTTAAGAAAGCCCAATTGCCAAAACCGACAACCCAGGACAGATCATCCTGGCGCCGTAGAGTCAGAAGACCCGACCCCAGATAACGGCAACAGGGACGGATAGTAGTAGTAGTAGTAGTTAGGGCGTCTTATAAGCTCGCATGGGCAGGTGCTGGTAGGACCTCTTGTGAGTCCGGACGGGTAGGTACCACCGCCCCGCCTACTTCTGCTGCGAAGCACACTATGATATCCGGAACTCCGGTAACCACATTAATAACACACTTCTTAATAACGTTAATCGCAGTTTTTTCTTTGTTTCAGAGGTTCACACAATATTTAGCATCGAGTAATTCAACGTTTCAACTAAATAATTTCCTAGACAAAAGCGGAGTACAAGGTATGTTCTGTAATAAATTATTTACTATGTTTATTTATAACTTGGTAATGAAGCGATTTTCCTCTTGAATTCAATCGCGCGCAGTCGAGACCACAAGTATGTCTTCGGAAGTCGATTAAATCGGAACCACCTTCCGCTATATCACTGTCTATCTAGCTCACAGCTTACCTGGTAATGAGTAATGGAATTTAGAGACGATATTCGCAACGTGAATGCCGCGGGGATGATGAAAACGCGCTTGTTCAAACCCAACTGAAACACCTTTCTGTCAGTCGTCACTCGGACTTCTTGACTTTAGTCAGCTATTATCGTGTTGTAGTCAAGGTACCAAGTGTTGAGCAATGGATTATATTATTTAATTTATCGGTAATATGAAATATGCCGTAAGATGCGGAACGTTGAGACGTATGGAATAACAACATTTTTGCACCAACGCAATAAATGGTTTAGGAACTGTTATTCGTGTCGCGTGTTCCTTGATTAGCGATTGATAGTTTGAGCCGACAGAAGCTTGTCTCTCTGTCGATAAGAAAACGCTGTTCGGATTATCACTACATAATATAAAACAAAGTCGCTTTCTCTGTCCCTATATCCCTATGTATGCTTAAATCTTTAAAACTACGCAACGGATTTTGATACGGTTTTGTTTTAATAGATAGAGTGATTGAAGAAGAGGGTTTATATGCATAATAACATCCATTAAATAGTGGAGAAATCAATAATAAATTACAGTTTCCGAAGCGAAGGATCGATATGAACACGTCGGCAAAGTTGAAGAGGTTTTTTATGCTTCGTTTTTTTTTCTTTCTCGAGAGCTAATTATCGTTATTCTGTTTAGTAAACAATGCTGTAAATGTAATGATAATTCAATTGAAATGTGTAGAGGAACTTCCTTGTGTCGTCCTACAAAAGGGATATCGTAAACGGATGTGTGGTGATCGGTTCGATGGAACTCTTCTGTATTTGTCTGTTTGTCAACATTATTTTAACAATGTTTTTAGTTATCAATTATTATTATAGTTATCAATTAGTTATCAAAATTATCACGAATCTATCTTCTATCTATCTATCTATCTATGTATATAAAAATGAATTGCCGTTCGTTAGTCTCGCTAAAACTCGAGAACGGCTGGACCGATTTGGCTAATTTTCGTCTTGAATTATTTGTGGAAGTCCAGAGAAGGTTTAAAAGGTAAATTTGAAAATGTTCGGAATTAAACAAAAATAACAATTTGGTTCTTTATTTGATGTGTCCCCGTCGGATTGATTCCTTTTGTTTGTTTTAAGTTTATTTTTATAGAATAGTTTAGGTCTTTTATTTATCGATTGAGGCTCTAAAAAGTCTGCCGGGTCAGCTAGTACTAATATATAAATCTATAGTGGTTTTTACGAATGTTCCGTTATAACTACTGAACCATGCATCCGATTAACTTGAAACTTGGTATTCATGTAGAAAATACATGTACTTAATGGATAGGCTAATTTATATGAGTGTTGGACTCCCTAATAATAATGACAAAAAATAATGATGTTAATTTTAAATGCCCAGCGAAACGGGCGAGTATGGATAGTTTGTTTATAAATTTAAAATTTAATTTTGGAAGCTACAAAATAGTCTCTGATTTTGTTATCGAGACTCCGGTAATATATAAACGAATAGAAAGATTGCATTTGATTCCAAGAATATTACTAAGTTCAATCAACGCTACTTTACTAATTCTAAATAAAATCTACAGAAGCGTGACTCACATTCAATTGTGTACGCTTAAACACATGTTTAAGTTAATTCAGTACTCATAGTTGAAACGCCTAAGCTCACACGTAATACTAACTCTATTACAAATGATATTGTAGTAGTGACCATTGACCTTAAAAGTCGTCGACACTACGTGACCTGTGTGTGTGTGTGAGTATGTGCAACTTTGATTTTAAACTCACCTATGTGTATATGAACTTTGGGTGTATAAAACGAATTAGTTTGCATAAATTCTATTTTTTACGTTCTGTAGGGATTTCGTGGTTAAATTTACTAGTGGTAGGACCTCTTGTGAGTCCGCGCGGGTAGGTGCCACCACCCTGCCTATTTCTGCCGTGAAGCAGTAATGCGTTTCGGTTTGAAGGGTGGGGCAGCCGTTGTAACTATACTGAGATCTTAGAACTTATATCTCAAGGTGGGTGGCGCATTTACGTTGTAGATGTCCACGGGCTCCAGTAATCACTTTACACCAGGTGGGCTGTGAGCTCGTCCACCCATCTAAGCAATAAAAANGGGTAGGTGCCACCACCCTGCCTATTTCTGCCGTGAAGCAGTAATGCGTTTCGGTTTGAAGGGTGGGGCAGCCGTTGTAACTATACTGAGATCTTAGAACTTATATCTCAAGGTGGGTGGCGCATTTACGTTGTAGATGTCCACGGGCTCCAGTAATCACTTTACACCAGGTGGGCTGTGAGCTCGTCCACCCATCTAAGCAATAAAAATGTGTAATGCGTGTTATGTACTATGATACTTGAAGTTGTCTGATGTAACTCCGTTTTATGATTTTGATAATAATACGTTAGTTTCAATGTAAATAGTACTGTGGAGTTAAAGCCTAAATAAAGGACTAAGAATGTTCTCGATGCTCAAATTAAGGCAGGTGCGAATTTTTCTAATCGAAATCCGTACTTCATAAATTTTCATGAATTGCTTCCACGATGATGGAATAACATTATCTTCTTCTTCTGTCTTCTATCTTCTCCTTCTATATATGTAAAAATGAATTGCTGTTCGTTAGTCTCGCTAAAACTCGAGAACGGTTGGACCGATTTGGCTAATTGTGGTCTTGAATTTTATTTGTGGAAGTTCAGAGAAGGTTTAGAAGGTAGATAAATATGAAACTGCTCGGAATTAAATAAAAATAACAATTTTCCAGACGGATTCCTTTTGTTTGTTGTAAGTTTATTTTATACAAAAGCTTAGGTCTTTTATTTATAGATTAAGGCACTACGATGTCTGCCGGGTCAGCTTAAGTGTAAATTGGATTCGAAAAGTTATAATTTAGGTAATTACTCGTGTCAGGGCGTCTTCTTAGTCCGCATGGCTATGTACCACTACATATTTCCACTCGGAAACAGTAATGCGTTCCGTTTTCAATGAAATCCTTTGGCCCTTATTATAGAAAGAATAAGCTGCCTTTTTTCTATAGCAGAAGTTTCTCGGCCTATGTTAAATAATAACCCAGTTATCTTGACCCCGGTAAATTACATACCCGATCCAGACGACCAAACGAGAAACAGTCGCCTTCGCCTTAAACACGTCGTTTTGAATCCTCTCGATTCACTCCCGTTGCTATTAGGCACTCAAAGCACCAGTCACCATTCTATTCGAACCCGTCGAATGCGATGAAGGTCTTGTCGTGAAACTTAACTCACAGACACAGCACAGGCCACTCAGTTTCTCGCCGGATCTTCTCAATGGGTTGCGAGGCAATGCTCAGGGCCCTAAAACTGCGATACTTTAAGACAATTTTTTGTACAGAAACTAGCGACATCTTGTAGCGGATGCCCCTAAACTTATATGTTGTTAAAGATAAGGCATTTAATTATTGTACAGCTAAACACAGAAAATAAAAAAAATAAAAAAAATCTAACCAGTCTTTATTTGTTATAGATTCTGAAAATTTACAAAATCCTTAATTAAAAATAAAATATACGATAGGTACTGATATGTTACTGCTATCTACAGGAGCAATGTGAAACTAATCGAAGCGAAGTCATCTAGTGGCCGACGCCCGTAAACATTTTTGTTGAGTGCTTGAGTTGCTTATCTATAACTAATTTATGTGTATAATTTATGGCACTGCTCTTGCTAGGGCTCGCCTTCACGTTCGATGAAGCAAGTATAACCTATAGAGAATATTAGCAGTAGGTAGTCCAAAAAATTATAAGGAATAAACCTCGCACGAATAAGAAAGCATATAAATACGACTCCAAATTGAGTATAAATTATATTGACATTTAGTATCATACATATATTATGAAGTGTCAATCTTAAGTATCACCAATAAATGGTTAATGCATTAAAAATAAATGACATCACTAATGTTCATCGTAATTATCACTCTAACCTACCGTTCAATTTAATTTATTATAAAGATTATTCTTCAGTCAATTTATTGACGGAACTATGTGAATCAATGCTCGGAATGAATATTTTATGTTTATTGAATGAAATATAAGTGCAGTTACTGATTAATGAACGTATTAAAATCAATAGTAGCGGAACGTATTGCAACCAGCATCATCAAATGTTTGTTAGGCAGCGGCTTGGCTCTGCCCCTGGCATTGCTGACGTCCATGGGCGACGGTAACCGTTCACCATCANCTGCCCCTGGCATTGCTGACGTCCATGGGCGACGGTAACCGTTCATCATCAGGTGAACCGTATGTGGAGCAAATAAAAAATATATTAGTGCCGTGAAAGATTCGGGCGTTTTTTTTTAATTATTGCCCTTGTAGACAGACGAGCATGCGGGCCACCTGATGAGTGGTTACCGTCGCCCATGGACTTCAGCAATGCCAGGGGCAGAGCCAAGCCGCTGCCTACCGCTTAATACTCTCCACAAGCCTCGTTTGAAGAAGGTTTCCTGCTAGAAGAGAGGTTATGAGAACTGCTTGCTATAGCAACATAATCGATCCTTGGTCTTTTTACTTATTAGACTCTTGCTCTATTTCAAAGAAAAATGTAAATACATTTTCGTTCAATATAAAATTGTTAAAGTTTGGTTACGAGCACCCGGTCATCGTTCTCGTCCAACCCGCGCGACGAAGGTCTCGACGAGTAAATTAACCCTCAGACACAGCCCTCTGAGTTTCTCGCCGGATCTTCTCAGTGGGTCGCGTTTCCGATCCGATGGTACATTCTCGAAGCACGGCTCTTGCTAGAGTTCGTGTTAGCAACATCGTCAGGTTTGGGCCTCGTGAGCTCACCTACTAGTTAAGGTTGCGCTGAAATAGCCCCTCAAGGCTCTCAGCTAGGTAGGAAAAAAAATACGAGCACATGTACTGCAGTATTTGATAGATGGCGTTATTGGCGTCCCGAATTGCGTTTACATAACTTCGATTAAAAAAATGCATTTCCAAGAGAGACTAGCTTAATACACGTAAAGTCGCGGCAACGGCTCATATTTTTTATAATAATACTTTGTAATACGCAGGTAGACGTAATATGAGCCCGATAATGCCGTATGTGCCATCGTCCTGTTTTAGCTTCGATATAATGTGGTTTAATGTTCCTATACTCAGGTAACCCTAGATGGGCCGTGGATTTTGTCTGTTTATTTACTGTAATTAAATAAAAAAAGTAAAAACAATGCCAATGACAATCGTACCTATAAAATAATCAACAACGTACCTTATAATGCTATTTCGTAATAGTAAATTCACACGGACTTTTTCATTGTTTATTAAAGTTTTATTGTACTTTTAGGGTATTCACACCTGAGTAATATATTATAATGGAATTTTGCAATTTTAACGCACTTGCTGTCTAGTGGAATCGAGCTTGCCTCTCACGCGAGATGTCATAGGCTTTTAGGCTGGACATTTTTTTTTATTTTTTTTATTGCTTAGGTAGGTGGACGAGCTCACAGCCCAACGGGCGTTAAGTGGTTACTGGAGCCCATAGACATCCACAACGTAAATGCGCCACCCATTTTGAGATATAAGCTCTAAGGTCTCAAGTATAGTTACACAGCTGCCCCGCCCTACAGACCGAAACGCATTGCTGCATCACGGCAGAAATAGGCAGGGCGGTGTTACCCACCTGTGCGGACACACAAGAGGTCCTACCACCAGTAATTACGCATATTATAATTTTGCAGGTTTCATTTTTATTACACGATGTTATTCCTCCACCGTGGACGTCAATCGTGAACATTTGTTGAGTACCTACGTATTTCATTAGAAAAATTGGTACCCGCCTGAGATTCGAACACCGGTGCATCGCTCAACACGAATACATCGGACGCCTTATCCGTTAGGCCACGACGACTTCTAAACTAAAAACTTCGACTTATTTCTGCCTAAATCTCTATTTTGATAGATCACTCTGAATATTAATTGTTAATAATAGTACAATAGTACAAAATATCTGCTCTATCTTTTTTAGAATATCGCTAAATAAAAACTAACATCTGGAAGAGATCACTTTTGGCTATAAGACCGCCTATTGTTCAATTAAACCTGCCTATTGACTTGTTTTCTCAATTTTAATTGCGTTTTGAGTATGCTTACTCTTTTTGTCGGGTAATAATTCCAAATTAGCAGAGTCAACATACAAAAAGACTAATTTTAGGATCTCTCCCTTAATGTTTCGCGCTTGTACGATTATATCACGGAGTTTTCCATTCCGACTTACAGAGTAGCAAATAGGTAGACATGATGGAATGCAATTAAGACAGAATTTGGAGCTCAGGTTCGGAATTCTCGTGCCTACATCCAGTGAAAGCTCATTAGAATTTATTATTATAGAATTCATTTCTCTAATTACGAAGGTCGTCGTGTCCTTGAAATAGTGAGCTAACTTTGTGTCACACTACGCGCCTCAGCAAAACCGACATTTGCTGTATGAACAATTATTGTTGTTATCATCAACATGAACTGTTAGTGTTTTATTAATTGTATGATAACTTATCATTGATGTGCCGTCTGTTTTTTTTGTTGTAATAAAACAGTTTTTATTCTGGGATCATTTTCTAGTATCTATATATGTATAGTTCGATTGAATGTCTTATTTTCACGTGACCGACAATTTTTATAAATTTTTTTTTTCTTATTTAAAATATCCTTCCAGCTGTTAATAAATTTGACGACATATGTACAAATAGCTTAATTATGTACTTGTATTATATTCATTACATTTTCCTCTTTGAATGCATACCGCTCTTAATTATTCACGTGTTCAATGGAATTCGATATATGTCTTAATCGACACCTAAAAGGCTTGCTGGTAATAACGCACAGACGAATAAAAATTAAAAAACCGGGGTAGTTCTAAATTTGAAATAAAGACGAATTCCGTAATATTAGGGGTTAAAGTATGAATTAAATTTTGGCGATTTGTACTGAAAAATTGAAATTCGTTTATTGTATTTTTTTATTTAACATTTATTTAATTATTTAATCAAAATATCTACCATTATTACCTATACATTGCTGCCATCTAATAAGAAAGACATTTATGCCTTTGCGATAGAACTCTAGTTATCTAGATTCTACAAATTGTGTGAAAGCATTTTGTACTGCCTCCTGGGAAGGCAATTATTACTATACCTACAAAAAAATGCACGAGAGTGTAATAAAACCACGTTGGGGTCTCTAATTCAGTGTCTCAATGTGAACGATAAATAAAATATTCTATTTATATCCCTTGGTGGCCACACAAACTCACGTTCGACTTGGTGCTAAGTGATTACCAGATTTCTTGAAGTCAAAGTACAAACGAATCAAAGTATTTGAGAATCTACCACCGGATCGGAAACGCGACCCACTGAGAAGAACCGGCGAGTAATTCAGTGGGCTGTGTCTATGCGTTAATTTACTCGTCGAGCCCTTCGTCGCGAGTGACGGGTTCGGCGACGACGGTGACCAGTGCTTGGGGTATCTAAAAGCACCGTTAATGGAACGGGAGGAATGACGTGTGCTTACGCGTAAGAGGGTATACTCGTATCGAGCGATGCACCGCGGCTTCAATATAGGCATTACGTAGGTTTTTTCCTACCTAATCTTTGGTAGCCTTGGGGGTATTCCAGCTACGACGGACTGATAAGTGCTCTTAGGGGCTCAATCTGAGAGGATTGTTAAGACTAATCCTAGCAAGAGCAGTGCCTAGCTGAATCGCCACCCACTGAGAATATCCGGCGAGATATTCAGTGGGTTGTGTCTATGGGCCAGTGCCTATGTCGAGCTCTTAATCGTAATCGAAGAGTTCAACGCGGAAGGTGACCGCTGCTTGAAGAGCCTAAAAGTACAAGTCAACGACCTTACATGACGAAGGAAAACCAAATGTGTATTTTTGTAAATGGGGATGTAGTATTTTCTCGAGGCGGATAGCGGTATTCACGTTGCGATGTAATTGGGCTCAGCCACTTATAATCAGGTGAGCTTTGAGCTCGTCTGTCCCTCCACTATATAATAAAAATAAACGAGTTCAATATATTTTCTCAACGCAACTTAAATTAAATAGTCTTAAACATGTACAGAATGTATGTAATGCGCATGTTTCTCTAATACGAAAATACAACTCTCTTTTTTTGTTCAGTTTGTACATAGATTTAAAAACATGTACAGCACGTTTTCATGATCAAATGTAATTTTAAGTCATGCAATATGAAAATTCTGTTTTTTTTTTTAACTGAATGTTTTTCGATTTTTCTCTTGGCTGTCTGAAGGAGCGGCCGGTGCGAGGATCGGTGAGTTTAAAAAAACCAAAAAAAATATGGCCGCTTTTGTGTATGTCTGAATGTTCACGTGTAGTCGAACACACGCTATGGTGCTTTATGGGTGCATTGTTATTGCACTTAAGTTGTGTAAGAACACGCTTTTTCTAAATGTTATTTTGCTTATGTGACGTTGCCATGAAGAACTAGCATGCAGTCTCTATGGAGGGCATAAATGCGTTCCCTGATGTGTTTCCGGACTTTATTATTTGAAAATTCTTACTTTAAATAAGTTTTAAAGGACATTTTAATTGATGTTTCGAAAAATTAAATTTGGTACAAATGTAGTTAATAGATGTTCCTCTATTTCAATGATCGAAAACGCTGGAAATACATAATAAAAAATTAAATCCTATCTAAACATTATGGTCATGACCCTCAGCAGTGAGGAAGCGCGGAGGGAGACGTTCCTCATGTTCTCAAACGTTCCGTAGTATTAAAGTATGAAGTTTATTGTTCCTCTGCGACTTTTTTCATTTGGCACATTTCGCAAATTGTCCTTTGAATCTTATTCTTTTAGCTCATAACTTTTCCACGTCGTCGTAATGTGCTATATTGTGAGATAAGATAAATCGACATTCATATTTACCGTGTTAAAGTTACGTAAAATTAGAAAATAAAACAAAAAACCTTTTTTTTTCTTCAATTTTATGTTTGTTTTGTAGGAATGTATGTGCTAGCCATATCTGTTATCGGACATGGTGTAACAAGAAAAAACGATACCGATGATTTTGGTTCGATTCAGTTTATTGTCTGTATTAAATTTACGTAGATTCGAGAATACACAGACGGGTTATTGTATCTGTTATTTTTATAAAGTTTATATTATTTCACGCGTATTTTGCGTTTTTTGTTTGACTGAATTCAATAGTGGTCAAATTGATTTAATAATTATTTATAAGATTAAAAAAGTGTATTATAATTTACTTGTGTCTTAGTTATTCATAGCGCAAGGTTACTTTTTTTGTCCTTAAAATGTATGGCAAATGGATTTTATGCTGTTTTTACAAACCAAGAGCTAAAGTATTAGGCATCCCTATTGTTGTTTAAACATGTATAGAAAAATCGTGTATAGATTAGCTTTTTATGGTCTTATTATTGTTTTGGGGGTGCGCTTACGTAGGAATAACATTGAAACGACTAAGTATTTATGACATGCAGGTGTGTAATAAGACATTATTGACGAAACGCCATTAAAATTACCTTGTTTTATGTAGATCAATATTGACGTCTCAAAATTGCACCCTGAATCAAATTAAGGCTTTTGAGATTTTGGACTTTATGATGAAGTCATTAAAGTGCATTAAGCGCTCGTCAATTTGTTGGCCTAAGAAATTGTAATTGAAGCATTGTCGATTTTACACTGTCGTCAATGAGCAGTGGTGTTGGATCGTTGTCCAATTATTTGACTTTAAACCTTAGTCGTTTGATTAATGTTAGCGGTTGCCATAGCGAACTTGATAATGCGAAAAATAGAATAGACCCGATTTTTAAGACAAGAAAAAAATTCTATCGTTTCTAAAAAACGGCCAAAGTTTTATATATTTGTTCCACTATTGACATCAGTCATATGCACTGTACTTTGGAAATACCATACACAGAGATATGAATAGAAGAATTACGAAATTCAGTAATGAATGGTCAAATTAGAATAAACAAATTAGATATAAAGTATGTTGACCTCATTTTTTGTTTGTTAATAAATCAAAATCACTGACTGTGTAATTAGTATATTTCAGTAGTTTCACACGCACTGCACAGAGCCTATGTACACAACTGCTTCTAGTATTTTTTTTTTGAAATTTTCGCTTTAGTTACAGTATTAAAATTTTAAATGTGATAGTCGAATTCGAGTCGATAATGTATGGTCCCTAAAACAAACATAATAAGGTTTATTACACTACGTTAAAAACTGTGGTACATTCGCATTTTAATAACGACAGTACTTATGTCGGATAGAAAATATAATCTATATACTTTTATTGTAAATATGAAAATGAGTTTAGTTATGTTTTAACATCTTAATTACTCAATCGATCATCATGAAATTTCACGTAAATGCTCTAAAGAAGCGAATATAGTGTCTTTCGTCTAGAAAAATAAGTATAAAATAATTATATTTTTTCCAATATCACTACCTGATGAAGCCACGTTAAATATCTAGTAAATTATAATTTAAAAGAAACTGACTGGCTGAATATAAAAACGCTAGACACTTTTATTGTCTTCCGATCGTATTGAGTTCCAGTCCCAACGCAATACCAATATCCCATGTAACCAGAAACTTCGATGACATACCTGACGATGACGTCATCAATCTAGTGTCAATCACTCGCAACTTTTTATCAACCACAAAACGCGTATCACCCTCATCAAATAGTTCAATTTTTTCCCTTTAATAAACTTATCGTTATTACAATGCGAGTATCGTGTACCAGGGCGGGTTTTTTTTTCCAAACCCAACAATACGGAAAAACCACGCTGTTATTCGCTTTAGAAGCTCCCAAAATAGAATGATTCGTAAACGAGAGACTATATTTAAAAAATGTTTGTTTATTATTCCTTTTTATGATTACATGTCCAGGATATGACATGTCTCCGTTCATCCGGCGCTACGCTAAATACCTCAATGAGAAGGCGCTTTCATACAGGACTGTCGCCTTTGACTTCTGCAAGGTCAAAAGGGGGTAAGTGGGATTGAAGTTGTTAATTTTAAACCTTAATTTTAATTTTTATTAACATGGCATTCGATGGATTTGGGCGGAGGGAATTAGTTTTGGATACTATTGAAGGCAGATCATTAATCTGAGATTTATATTGCGTTGTCCATGGACATCAACGATCTCCGAAAAAGGTCATCATTGGTTTGCTCCTATTTACTCGAGAAATTTCCGGGTACTTTGCTCAATTTCGATATACTCTCTTTTTTTTTCTTTTTTTTTTATTGCTTAGGTTGTTGGACGAGCTCACGGCCCACCTGATGTTACGTGGTTACCGGAGCCCATAGACATCTACAACGTGAATGCCGCCACCTACCTTGAGATATGAGTTCTAAGGTCTCCGTATAGTTACAACGGTTGCCTCACCCTTCAAACCGAAACGCATTACTGCTTCACGGCAGAAATAGGCGGGGTGGTGGTACCTACCCGCGCAAACTCACAAGAGGTCCCTACCACCAGTAATAAACCAGTAATAAACCTCTCTTCTTTTTTCAGCAAGGAGGAAGGCTCGCTCCGCATGATGAACGCGGAGAAACTCCTAAAGACCCTGCCGGTCCTCCAGGCTCAGTTGGACGCACTCCTGGAGTTCGACTGCACCGCCAACGATCTCACCAATGGAGTCATCAATATGTGCTTCATGCTGCTCTTCAGAGATCTCATTAGGTATGTTTTGAATTTAAATATGTTTGGGACTGAGAAAAGGATGTTTCAGGATTTAGTAGGCAGCGGCTTGGCTCTGCTCCTGGCATTGCTGAAGTCCATGGGCGACGGTAACCACTTACCATAAGGTGGGCCGTACTCTCGTCTGCCTACAAAGGCAATAAAAAAAAAAATCACTCCTAGTAGCTCGTTGATGCACTATTCAATTTTCTCACTGGCGAGAGTTATATGTGCTGATTAGATGAGCCGTTGTAACTATACTGAGACCTTAGAACTTATATAGAAGCCCCAGTTCTCGCTGAAGTGCGCCACCACGATGGCCCACACCGGACCCGACGTCAGCATCGCCTTCCAGGGGTGCATCTCAAGGTGTGTGGCGCGTTTACGATGTAGATGTCTATGGGTTCCAGTAACCACTTAACATCAGGTGGGCTGTGAGCTCGTCCACCCATCAAAGCAATAAAAAAAGATCGTCTTTTTGTTTAACGGACAAATAAAATTCAACACTATTTTCGGTGAAAATTTCTATACTATTAAGTATATATCTTTTTTTTTCGTTTTCAGATTATTCGCGTGCTACAATGACGGCATCATAAATCTACTAGAGAAATACTTCGACATGAACAAGAAGAACTGCCGCGAAGCTCTCGATCTCTATAAAAAGTTCCTGATCCGAATGGATAGAGTTGGGGAGTTCTTGAAGGCAAGATACATATTTTTTACTCGTTGAGAATCGATTTTAAATGTGATTTATTAGTTTCTGTAATCTGTTTTCTGTAGTTCACTGATACTAAACAGTTAATAAACCACATTATTACACATTTAAACCTCAAGAAACACTAAATTGACAAAATAAACTAAATCACATAACTTCACTCCTCGCGTTTCCGTAAAAAAGTTCTCATGAGCTTATTTTAGATAGAATATAGATAGATTAGATATCTATACTTCTATATCTATACTCTATACTAATATATAAATCTACTGTGGGTTTTACGGATGTTCCGTTATAACTACTGAACCGTGCATCCGATTGACTTGAGACTTGGTATCTATCTAGAAAATACACGTACTTAATGGATAGGCTAATATTTATATGAGTGTTGGACTCCCTAATAATAATGACAATAAATAATGATGTTAATTTGAAATGCCCAGCGAAGCAGCCGAGTACGGCTAGTAGAATATATAGATAGAATATCGTCAATGTAATAAGTGAAACATGGTTATGGCACAGGTAGCGGAGAACGTGGGCATCGACAAGGGCGACATCCCTGACCTCACCAAGGCGCCCAGCAGCCTCCTGGACGCGCTGGAGGGCCACCTCGCCACGCTCGAGGGCAAGAAGGGCTCCGCCGCCAACACTCCCACTCAAACAGCCAGGTCTGCACTAACCACTCCCGACACAATTCACCACTATTTAACACAAAATAAGCATGTACGACCCGGCGATATCAGTTCTGCTGTGCAAACACGAAATTTTACTGCAATGTGTGACGTCACTTGTGGCCAAATTTTTCGATATTATAGAACAGTTACCAGAGTAAATTAACCCACAGACACAGCCCACTGAGCTTCTCGGAGGATCCGTAATGACGTGTTTTGGGCGACGTCGATTGTTTACCATTCGGTATACAGAATCGGGTATGCAGTTTCCAGCGGCCACGACAAGAGGATTCTCATGTCGTTTGATGATAGAATCATAATAGTGTACAAACTTATAATTTCAATTAATTGTAGTCGAATTTCGACTACTAAGGGACTACTAGTAAGACTAAAGTCTATAAGATCGTTGATTGTAAATCCGCAGTGCCCAGAAGAACGTGGCCAGCGTCATGGGAGCCCTGTCGTCCACGTCGTCCTCGTTCGGCAACGCGGCCGCCTCCACGCGCCTCGACTACCCGCCCGCCGCCGCCGCGCTGCTCATCGACGACTCGCTGCGACAGCAGGCCCTCGCCGAGGAGGAGGCCGCCATGAACCAGTACAAGGTCAGCCCCCTCCCTCCCAACGCCCCGCCCCACCCCCCGCCGCACCCCCCGCCGCAACCAACTAACGTCACTGCGTTCCAGGTGCACTTGTTGCAAGGAGACGAGCTGACCGGAAACGAAGACTTGACGGAAATAATCGTAAGACCACAATAGAGAATGGGTTTGTGGGCTCGGTTGTGGAGATGTGTAATGTAAGCAGAGCATACGTTTAAGTCATATCTGACAGTCTTAAATAAATAAATAAACACATTTTAATAACAATTGTCGTACTAGGTAGTAAAGATGATTGATACTTATATTTTATCCGTATGGCCACGATATTGGACTAAAATAATTCTATTATCAATGATCCTTGATGCGTGGATAAAAATTAAAATTATATGGTCTTGAAGTCCGTGAAACTTACCTTGAGTGATTCTGATACATAAATTATTACAAATTCTAGGTAATTTAAAAATAAAAAGGTGGTGAAAAAACTACCTAAATCAATAATAATTGAAAACCTTCCATCAAACTACTGCTTCTGGAAAATGTTAATGATTGACTATATTTAAAATCACCATAGCGTATAATCTATGGCTAGCGCATCATACGTTTTGACCCCAAATGACGTCACATGCAAATGAAGTCGCGTGAGCTTTGCGCCATTTTAAAAATAGTTTAAATAAAAAATAAATGGCATTTAGTTCCGTGTTGTGATCATTTGTAACATTTATCGAGTGTCTTAATTCATATAAGAAGTTATTGGGAAAATATATCTACAAATGATTTCAAACAAAGAGAAGTTCAACAATTTTTTATCCTTTACTATTATTACCTTACCTAATAAGTGTATGGCTCCAATAAAGAATAAAAAAAATATATTATTACCTACATTCTAGGTGATTAAACATAAATTTTGTGTTTCTGCTTATATTACATACTCAATTGTTCGTACTCCATGTCGCTTAGGGAATATTTATGTATGAATATGTGGGAAGCGGCTTTGTTTACTGTGTGTACACTAAACTTGTTCAATGTCCTATAAATGATATTTATTGTATTGAGGGTTTGTTATAAAGATTGGGCGTATTTCAATTGTGGTGTAATATAATTTATTTTTTGATATAATCAAATAAGAAGGGTATTGACAACTAACATAGTTTTGTATAGTGCGAGGAAACATGATAACATTATTGAAGTTTAATTGGGGTCAGTAAAACAGATTTAGTATTGCGGTATCTAAAGCAGTCTGTGGCTGAAAAAGCTGTGTAGTGAATGTTTTGAACGTCATAACTTTAATGAACGTTATTTCAAAGCTTTAAGTAACAGTTTTTTTTGTCAACTGTACTTTATATCGCCAAGCTTCGCTTCGCATCGCATTCCCTTCTTGTTTGAATCGAGTGTCGTGCACGTCTCACCACCCTCCGAACAACCATACATAACATAACGCGATCGCAAACCATCCAACATTCAACAGTGTTGCGAGTTTTTAACGTTCTCGATAACGTAAAAGTTAACTTTGCGTAAAAGCTAACCATACAGATTGTGATTAACGTTTACGCTATCGAGAACGTTAAAAAACTCGCATTAAGCACGCAGGTATAGAAACTACAGGTTAGTTTACTGTTGATTGCAGAACAAGGTACAGTCGCCGACGAACGCGGCCAACAACCCGTTCCTAGGCGCGGGGGCTCCGCCCGGCGGCCAGCACGCCATCGTGGACCTGTTCGGGCCCGCGCCCCCCGCCGGCGCCGCCGCCCCGCCAGCCAAGGCCTCCGACGACCTGCTCTCCCTCGGCAACCCCTTCGCCGACATGTTCGGGGGTGAGTCCTTACATTAGTCGTTACACGTGATGACGGTTAGTTGGTGATGGTCACGTATGTATATTATGTTTATAGTTAAAAGGTATATTAGAAATAAAACAAATTCAGTTAATTAGATAAAAAGAAAAGCAATAAAAGTCTATATGGTAGAAAACATTTCAATGTCATGTTTGGATAATAATAGAATGGCTGAAAAAAATGTTTTTACTTATTACTTCAAATAAACTGTAGTTTCAAATGAAATTAGTGGGAACCTTTTTGAAAATACACTTTTATTGGAATAACATTGAAATTTTTTACTAAACATATCAACTTAAATACACTTCTAAATTGTTAACAAATTGGTAACATTAAGTATAATTTGCAAATTAATAATAACTATATGATCTAATAATGTGTACATAATAATAATAGCACACTGTACAGAACTACACACATTGGACCGGTTGTGGCCTCAGCACGATGTCTCTTTCACGTTTTAAATACCAATGCAGTACAAAAAGTGTAATCTGAATAATTACATTAATTACACTACATAACACTACGGAATACAGGTGTAAAATTTAGATTTATTAACAATTTACTACATTCGGGAAATTAACACAATAATGTAGCTTTCAATATGTATAATATTAGTACTGCATTGCTATTGTATGGCAATACTTTTAGCCCCGTCAGCTCCGGCGCAGGGCTCCGCCCCGATGTGGGCGGCGGCGCCCCAGCCCGCGCCCCCCACCAACGGATTCGCGGCCTTCGCCCCCGCGCCTGCGACACAACAAAACAACACGTTCGTTTCAGAGGCTAACTTCTCTAACGTATTCAATAACACTGACAGCACAGGTGAGCTGCACTCCACGTAGTCTTGAAGCGGGTCGCCGTGAGGTTTACCTCGCCATTTTAATACTCGGACATTTTAATAAAATTCCGTAATTAATACAATATGAATTTTTGGAAAAATCATTAAATCTGACGGTGACCCCACAGTAATTAATAATAAACTCTGATATTAATAAACTTAATCATCTCATTTCTTTGGTGACGGGTATTCCTGTATAAATGTACAATTGTTGTATAAAAGAGGTTAAAAAGCACTCACATGTGGTCAAAAAGCTGAGCGGAGCTCGCACGCACGAGGGGTAGTCGACGCCCCCCCCCCCTACGGGCTCGCGTTATGGCGCACGTGTCGTCCGGCGTAACGTTTGTTTGATGTGTTCCGCAAGCCGCGGCGCCCAACCCGTTTATGGGCATGGGGGAGTCGTCCCCCTCGCGGCCCCCGCTGCCCCCCCAGCCCGCGCAGCCGCCCAAGTCCGCCTTCGACGAGCTAGAGGACGTGCTCCGCATGTCGCTGGGCTCGCCGGCCAAGTGCCAGCCCGTCACGCAGCAGCCGACGGCGCAGCACCAGTCCGCCGACGTCATGTCGATGCCGATGATGTTCGGCTCGCCGGCCCGCCAGCCGATGGCGCCGATGAGCGGTTCGAAACGTTTACAGATTGTCGGATGTTTTCGGTTTTTTTTTTTCGTTTTCGTTTCAGTGTTGCCAGTCATGCTTGCACCTCTACGTATAGTAGCAGTAATGCTAATGCACCGTTGCCGTTTTTGAGTTGTGTATTATTATTATCATTTTAAGTTAATTTAGCGTCTTTTTTATTTTTACATACTTAATAAATCACATAAAACTCATTGTTCCTATTATTTTTTTGTTGATTTAACCGCGGTCATCAAATGCACATTCCCATCGTATTGACATTGACCGCATGCTAGAGAATAAATCATGAATCATAGAAGCTCTAATGCCGAATATTAATTTTTGAATAAGCTTAAACGACAAAAGCATCTTTGTTAGCTTATTGCCTCAATCAATTTAGTTTTGCGAACCATAAATAGAATTGAGCTACTTTCACTTTGAGAACCACTGATCTAGAAACATATCTAATTTATTACATGTAGAATTGGAATTGTTAACAAGAAAAGAAAATTGTTTTGAGATCAACTATAAATCAACTAAAAACCTTATCAAACAGCTACATTTCAAACAGCACAAGCTGCCGTAAGAACACGAACAAACAAACACTGAGCACTGGATGCTATTGATGACCATAGATATTCTAAAGCAACAAACGATACAGGTCACCAGGCGCCGCAGCCCGGGAAGGTGCTCACGGGAGACCTGGACTCGTCCCTCGCGTCGCTCGCTAATAACCTCTCCATCAACAAGACAGCTGCGGCCCAGAAGTAAGTCGCATCCAGCTCACGCGCTGAGCCCTCATCAGCAGGAGGATTGTTGCGTTGTGGTGAACGAGAGTGGACTGTATTTATTTGGTTGATATCTTTATTAGTCCATAGGTGACAAATTAAAGATACAGTCAAACCTGGATAAGTGAGAACTGGATAAGTGAGAAAACTCTATAAGTGAGAGTAATAGCCAGGACCCGTCATTTTAAGCTCCCAAAACCTCTATTAGAGAGAAACAGAAACCTCTGTAAGAGAGAGTCGTTTTTCCCTCATGGACCTCCGTAAGTGAGACTGCTACTTATCTATACCTCTATAAGCGAGAGTCGAGCTTTATTTATTTATATTACTTAGGAGGAATAAATGAAAAAACAAATTACAAGTTTAACATCTGTTATTTTATGACTCATTGTTAACTTTTGTGGAACTTTCTACCATATTTTTTTTATTGTTTTCTCGTCAATATTGAACCTATTCTATTTCGTGGAACTAAATAACATTGTTATTTTATCGCTTTCTTTTCGAGTGGACACGTGTGGCTGAGTACCGTCCTGTTTGTCGGACTTACTCAGTTTATCGTTAATCAATTGCAAAGAAAAGTTTTGTTCTGCATCATGTCAAAACGGAAAATTAAAGTACTGTCATTAAATAATAAACTTAAAATAGTGAATGCGTTTGAATCCGAAAAATCGCGAATTAAAATTCAGAGGGAGCATTAGCGAGAAACTCGGGTTAGTGAGAAACCTCTTTAAGCGAGAATGAGATTGTGCTCCCTTGAACTCTCTCTTATCCAGGTTTGACTGTATATGAATATACTAGCTGTACCCGTCCGCTTCGCTGGGCATTTGAAAATAACATTATTATTTCTCACCCCCACAAAGATTCTCATTATTAACGCCCCCGCAGCTGCTGTAGGGAGTCCAACACTCATATAAATATTAGCCTATCCATTAAGTACATGTATTTTCTACATGGATACCAAGTTTCAAGTAAATCGGATGCACTGTTCAGTAGTTATAACCGAAAGTGGGCAGATAGATAGTGTTGAAAGCGTGACGAATTACACCAACGGAAGACACGTCTGCTCTCTGTTACTTGCAAATGCAACACGAAAATAAATGCTCTCGCTAGTAGATATCTCAAATATCCAACCCTAATTTGTGTTTGCACCAGACCGATGCAGTGGAACTCCCCGAAGAACGCGTCGAAGCCGGGACAGACCTGGAGCCCGCAGCCCATGCAGGCCACGACCGGCGCCGGCTACAGGCCGATGGTAAGCCGCCCCCCACAGCGTCCCCCTCGCGTCGCCCCGTATAGCTTTGCCTCTGTGCGTCCATTAGGTTACTTGCTTGGTAAAGGCGGCTCGAAGTCCGGGCGGGAACTAATTCATCAGCCAAGGGAATGCGAGAACTGCCGCATGTCTGCTGCGACCTTGTTGTTCAGTTGTCCAAAGGTGTTTACGCACTCGTTTTGTAAATGAATATCATTTAGCAAATAGGACCTAAAGTCGATCGTACATGGGAGCTGGGAACGCCCCCTTGTCTTCAGCCGGTTCACACTACGCGAATAACGTGTCGATTGTCTACCCACAGCCTTAATGTCCCCACTGCAAGCTAAGCTAAGTAAATTTAATGTAAATTTTGGCACATGGACTTGGTCATTTATAAGACCAATTGTGTTTGTGTCCCGGAATGATTCGAATACATGGTGACGTGTCAAAACCTTACAACACTCGTCGAATCAAACATCTGTAACGCGTTCGTGTAATACCGTTGTGCGCGTCACACAATTGTTACTAAAAAAACGGTGCGCATGCAACTTGGTGCACGTAAATGAAGTGAAACTTCTGTTTCGATGCGTAGTATTGTGGTTTTCTTCATTTTTCATCCTTAAATCAGATTGCTCTTGTAATAGTGTAAGTGCTGTGTATAAGAGATGCGACATCTTCAACATTTATATTATACATATTTTAAATTGAAGATAGAAAAAAAAAATTTTTTAAATACTTCATTGAAATATTGGACGCCACTCGTTGCTAACGCTCGCGCTGTGACAGGTATACTACGCGCATGCGTTCGAGTGCCGCGCATTCACTCTCGCTCTGTCTCTTTCTATTCCCCCTCCCCAGGAACGTTAAACTTTTAACGCAACATTGTTGGAAGTCGCATTAGAAGTCTAACTTCAATATTTTAATCTTTTATTTATTTATTATACACCAGGATTTTAAGGAAAAAAATCTATTTTAACGATATCATAATTTAAATAAAAAAATTGTTATTTAAGAAACTACGCGTGTTTACTGTATTTCAGAATCGCACTATCTGTATCACATGGTTTAGTATAACTTGTACCGAAAGCACCCGACCCGTCTTATCCTTTAGGCCGCGTCGATTTCAAACAATTAAAACGCGTGTGCTTTACAGACGTAAAGGATGTCCCAGTGATCTGCGTAGGATTTTTATAATGCGGCATCGCATGCATCACTTAGTACCGGTTGCTTTGTAACTATACTGAGACCTTAGAACTTATATCTCAAAGTGGGTGGCGCATTTACGTTGTAGATGTCTATGTGCTCCAGTAACCACTTAACGCCAGGTAGGCTGTGAGCTCGTCCACCCATCTAAGCAATAAAAACATTCAAATACATTTTCTTATGACGTTGTTTCACTTCGAATAACAAACGATCGACCGGTCCCATCTTGCCAAATGATTTTCATTTCCAAACAATAATATTATCGTCTTTATCACAATTTTACTTTAGCTTAATTTTGTTCATCCATACGCCATTCACGTTTCCTTTGGCCTCTGCGCTTTAGTTGTTGCATTTACAGTTAGTTGTGCTGGTCGTTTGCGTTACGTCAAATTGTACCCTAGTATAGTGTAGAGCTAAGATTGCATTGTTATTCTTATTTTTTATTCTAACGGTCACGTGACTAATGCTACACGAATAATAATGAAAAACACAAGTACCCTCTTTTTTGAGTCAATTCTGTTTCTCAGTTTTACTTTAAAGAATAATTTGATAATGAATTAGTAAGCATATATACGTAATTCTCGTTGTAAATAGCTGAAAGGCAAATATACTTTAGCCCCGCAAGGGGGACATTGAAAATTTGGGAGCATGTAGGAACACGGGTCATTTTATATTGAAGAATAATTTGATAATAAATTAGTATAAGCATATGCGCGTAATTCTCGTTGTAAATAGCTGAAAGGTAAACATGCTTTAGCCCCGCAAAGGGGGACATTAAAAGTTTGAGAGCATCTAGGAACAGGGGTCAACAACCCGGCCCGTGACGTTAGCTAATTAGTGACGTGACCGAAGGCTCCCGTAGCATGCCGAGCATCCTGTTTTATTTGCGTTATTGCAGGGCCCCGGCATGACCTTACCGACCATGCCCCACACTTTGCCCCACACATACCACCCCCCGCATTATGTTCTGGTGAGTCGCTAATATTTTTTTTTGTTTCTCTTGCATTTGTTTTTTTCTTGCAGCATATTTGAGGCGGTCAGCGCAAAAATGGCCTAATCTTGCCGTGGTTATTATGGAGCAATGAGGTTTAAGTTGTCATTAATTTGAATTTGAGTAGGCAAAAAAACAATACGCGCAAAAATAATGTTTACAGAGCCATCTTTTATCTATGGGTGAAATTATGGATAGGCCGGTTTTGCATCAAAATTTATTAGATCTATACATATAAATAAAATTGGAGTGTCTGTTTGTAATATTGAAATAACCGCTTTTTACTACATACATATGAATATACGGTACATACACCAAAATAACATTTTTTACAATTTTTGTCTGTCTGTTTGTTTCGGCTAATCTCTGGAACGGCTGGACCGATTTTGACGGGACTTTCACTGATAGGTAGCTGATGATGTAAGGAATAACCGTACCGTCACCGTCAATAACCGTGACTTCACCCGCGGTACGACAATAACCCCGGGTAACATCGCGGAACTTAGCTAGTTTTCAATAAATTGCAATATACATATTTAAGCATGATTATGAAAAATTGTGGGTTAGGCCACTTTTGCACTGACGGCCTCATTTAGCCAATCAGCATGTCCCGTTGGAATTCGAAAGTGTGGTTAATGTGCTGCGGAACTTTTTTTTTCTTTTTCTATTTAGCTGTATTAGCATGTTCTATTGAAAATTAAAAAAGAAAAAAACATGTTTATTTCGTTAGTTTGAAATCTGTCTGCTACCAAAGGTGTGATCTTGAGCACGAGAATTTTCTTTATTTTCGTCAAATTTACATAATTAATTAAACATTGGTAATTTATCATTAAAACACTAGACTGTCTGAGTGTTTTGTTAGTAAATTTGTCAAAGTAAGAAGCTTCTAAACTATTAATAATAATTCATTAGAAAGTATGATATATTTCGAGGGGTGAAAGGCAATTGGGTTAAAGCGACATTTTGCTTAATACGCAACATTTATCTTTGTAATTAAAGGTCCGTTTTATTTGATATTAGCATCAACAATTCGTTTCATGTTTTTAACTAAACTTCAATTAAGCTTCTTTTTCTCCACCTTATCCCACCAGGTGGAGTCAGTACAGCGAATTTTTCTATTCCATTCTCTTCTATCAACCGTCATCTCAACACTCACTCCTCTCTCTCTCTCATATCGTCATTCACACATTCCATCCATGTCTTCTTCGGTCGACCTCTTCCCCCTCTACCTTGCAGGGGACTCTTTTTTCGACCTCTAACTTCAATTAAGCTTACCCCTTTCAAATAGCTAAAGAAGTTTCATGTTAGGATATTTTTTGAAAATTTTTAAACTTTAAATGGATCTCCTGTAAAGTTGCAAAAATGTCGTTTAAACCTTATAGCCTTTTTACCCCTCGGTTATATTAATGGACAAGTTGAATTATTATTTTTCGTATGGAACATCATTTTAACAAGAACGAATTCATATAAAATTTGTGTAGGTAACTATTGTGATATAATCAATTTATTAACGATAATCTACAACACTACATAAATGGAAGCTTCGTGGTAGCGGCTTGCAAACAATGACAATGTCAATGGCATGAGCTTAGGTAACAGTTAGACGCCAAGTTTAAATATTTTCGCTTGCACTGGTTTAGTTTTCACAGCTTGTAGTTGCAATATTATACGCTAATACCATACACGTTTTATTTGTTTCTGGAATATTTATACTGAATGATTGCGTTATCCACGACGTTGTAGGATGATATTCGACTNGTAGCGGCTTGCAAACAATGACAATGTCAATGGCATGAGCTTAGGTAACAGTTAGACGCCAAGTTTAAATATTTTCGCTTGCACTGGTTTAGTTTTCACAGCTTGTAGTTGCAATATTATACGCTAATACCATACACGTTTTATTTGTTTCTGGAATATTTATACTGAATGATTGCGTTATCCACGACGTTGTAGGATGATATTCGACTTTGTTCAGTCGTAATAAGGGTCAGATTTTGTTGTCTACACCGATTAATTAATAAAGTTCTGGCTTCATTATTTGGTTGACTTAACAACTCGCAACAGCCTGGAATTGACTATGTAGCTGTAAAACAAATTATTTTCATCTGATTAATCGGGTACATAATTCTAATAAAGGTAGGTAATTTAATTGATTGGGAATCAAAATCGCTCATTCATCATAGAAGTGATGAGTTTTTTTTTTACTTTTAATAATGTCTCATAATAAAACAAAATCAATTAGGACTGTTTCACCGTATTCGTATAATTTTATATTATGTGTGTTTAATGGGCATTTCCAGCAACAACCCGGCATGGCGATGGGCATGCCCGGAGCCCCCATGATGCCCATGGCGATGGCCGCTCCCATGCGACCCGCCGTACCCCCACAGCCCACCACCAACCAGTTCAGTTAAACCGGAAACACCACCGAAAGGTTTTTATGTATCATCACCACCGACTGTTCCTGGTCAAACATAAACCACATCCAATCTTAGCAGTCTGACTTCATATAAACTTGGAACCTGTCAGAGATTGAACGAAAGGAATAGATAAATTATTTCTTAATCATCTTTTTGTTGAGTAACGGAACAGTCGGAACGTAGTAGTATTTGGAGCCATTTGTCTATGAGATTTAGTTAGGTACGTTTGTGCTAAGTACCCCGTGTTGCGCTTAAACCTGAATAGGAGATAATAATTGTTCGGTCTTTAAGGCCCCACTTTAATTATAAAGTGTCCCTAGACACTGGGCCCCGTTGTCTAATTTTAACATCGCCCGTCTGAATTTAAAAAAAATCCATCTACTTGCTACTGTGGCGCCATCTTAATTGGCATTTTTTAATACACTGAGTTAATACTCCTTACTTCCATACGTTTGAAGAACGTTCTCGTAGGTATTTCAGGTCGTTTCCGTTTGACACGTCTTTTTTTATAAGGGATTTTATGAACTGGTAACTAAAACCTTTAGGTCAAATACGAACTGTCAGTTGCAGCCACAGATTAATTATATCATTGATGTAACTCTGTACTCTGTATAGAGTATGATGTTAAAATTAGACAATACGGTCCCTGTTTATTTTGTATAAAATAGTGTTTTTTTTTTTTGAAGTTACCACTTTAAATTTTAAGTGGTTTTCATTTTTTTCATCCGTTTTATTTTATTTTACATTAAAATAAAATTATTAGTATGATGATGATGATGATATGAATAGAATTATTTACGCTTTATTCTTGTGTATTTATTGGAAGTTAATATGAAATCATAATATTTGTAATTTTCGTTGATATTGTTATTCTCAATCATTAAATCTTATGTTGCTTTTTTTAATGATTTTATCTTATGAAATGTTATTTTAGTTTCCACGTCGCGATGATCACATTCCATTATTGTAAAAATACATGAAGTCGTCGCGTAGGGATGTTTCATTTCAATAATGAGAGTTTAATCGAAATGTTAATATCTAGCAAACAGCCTATTCGTTTATTGATTTTAAGCTGTTCCAATAAAAAGTATTTTTTTGTCGTTATTTGTATGTACGTCATGTTAAATTTGATTCCCAATGGCTTATAAAAAAAACAATTCCGGCCTTGTCAGACAACTGCTCGTGATGCGAATATGGTCTAGGATCAACTGTGACCAATTCTTGTGTCTTGGGGAATAAAATTGCAACTAAAAAAAAAAACAATTGCTCTATTTTTACTGGAACAGCCTTTAAAAATAATGTATTGATTAAATTAACTTAATATTCAAAATATATGTAAAACATGTTAGTCCTTAATATTAAGCCTGTGTTGATTAGAAAAGTTGCCGTTAAAATAAAAATTGTAACCACTTAATATCCATTATTATGTAAAAATTATAATAATTGGTAAAGAAAAAAAAACAGAGATTCTCTGATTTGGATATTTCATACTAGATTATTTAGCACAAAAATTTTTTGGCAACACCTTCGATTTTGAGTAACAGCAACACTTAATATTTCGTCATCTAGTCTGATCGATTGCTGGGATGTGACCAATCAATGTGGCAATGAATATTGACCTCTAAAGCCCCACATCCGAGTCATGATACTGAACATCTACTACATAACCGTAACTTGCTGTATGAGAGCCGAAACTTAGACGAAAGCAAAAGCGGTCCGTTTTTGTATTCAGTATGTTAATTTAAAATCATCTAACGTCGTCTTGACATTACAACAGTAACACAAATGTCAAAATCAAATCTTCAGAACTGTCACTTGTCAATAAACAACATCACATCTGAACAATGTATCATACGACGTTTGAAATAATAATTTGTAATCACACGGAAATATCCAAATGAACGAGTCTCGAATATTTTCGTGTATAATAAAATATAGTATGTTTAAAAGAATACCTACATTAGATTGTTGTATAATTAGAAGTTACGGGTGTATATTGTACGGCTGTTGATTTTACAGATGTCGCTTAGGTGCTTGGTTAAGTAGAGGTTCCAGTCACGTTGCAGTAATTACAAATATGAAAGCCACCACGTTTTGTTGNATCCAAATGAACGAGTCTCGAATATTTTCGTGTATAATAAAATATAGTATGTTTAAAAGAATACCTACATTAGATTGTTGTATAATTAGAAGTTACGGGTGTATATTGTACGGCTGTTGATTTTACAGATGTCGCTTAGGTGCTTGGTTAAGTAGAGGTTCCAGTCACGTTGCAGTAATTACAAATATGAAAGCCACCACGTTTTGTTGCGACTCATTTTTGGCTCGGCGATACCCTGGGATGACGTCAATGAGACGCTTGAGAACATTCGCTTGTCGCCAACAATACTCTGTAGCTCGGTTGAAACGTAGAAATGAACTAAGAAATTATCCGACGATTTCAAATAACTTTTGCCAATCATAAAAATGCCTAATAGCCTTACAATATTTCTCGTCGAAGACTGCCATATTTAATTTTGAAGTATTACATTTTGCTTTATAATGAGAGACCAATAAATCGTTGGGTCTTCCCTTCCGGGTAAGATTTACTGGCAATGCTTATGGTAACACTTAAATGGTGTTGCCATTTTTAAAAATTACAATCTTAAAAATCGTACCTATCTTATGAGCAACACAGTAATAAAACCCTGAAATAGTTTGCATGTGAATAATTGTGTCACACAGATTGTAATATTTATATAAGACGCTTCTAGTGACTTCTTTAGTGCATCTCCTCGTTTCTATAGCTACTGTTTATATATAAAATAAAATGTGATATCTAATCGATTTGGGATCTGTTGACATGATTATATCATGAAAAAAAAAAGATTGGTAAATTTTGTGCAATATTTTTATTATATCATGGCACGTTTTGTATTAAGCTATTTCGCCAAGTGAGAAGTCCAGTGTATTATTTGTTTAGTTTATTTTTCAGTTGGCAACACTGTACTTTTAGCGATTCATGCTATAACGGACGGCGGTAATCGACTGATATAATATTTAAATAGCTGAATTCTCTATTAGTATGTAGCGTTTTTTTTTTTATTAAGTGAAATTAGTGCGTATTAATTAATATGATTTAATAATTAATATATTATGATAGCTATTCATAACTTTGTTACAAACATTCTTAAGGTGTAAATTTTTTTTTTGGAACCCTGTACCGAGTTACGTTTATGTAAATATTATCTGCTATGTTATTTACAATTGAGCTTCGGCAATGAATCTAGAGTATTTATGAAATTAATAAATCAAGCAATACGATTTAGCGTTTTCTTTTGCCTTTTTCGTTCCTAGTTTGCTTTTAGAAAGAAAAAAAAAGTTTAGTACAAAGATTTTAAATATGTGGAATGACTATTTATTTATCAATCCTATTTCTTATGACAATACTAGTTAAAATAATAGTAAACCCAATGGCCTCTATGTGTAAGAAAAATAGTAAAGAAATAGACTGTTTTGAGATCAATTTCTTTGCGTAAAAGCTAGAAAAATTCCGTGTTTTTGTGTTCCGTGTTCCGTGGTTTTGCAATACATGTGGTAAGTCTCAAAACAGTACATAACTCTTAAAATATGTAGATAATGTAATTCAAAGCACAGTATTGTAATAACACTTACTAATTGTGTCTATAATGTAGCTGTTTCAAACAAGTATCTAGCTCAACAAATTGTAGAGATGACAAATGTATGTTAACATTTTTAGCTGTGGCAACACTAAAATTGAATCTGTTATTATCTATATTTAATGAAAATAAAATGTATTTTTGTTCGGAGTTCTATATGTTAGCGCGTAAGATAGTCCCAATTCCCATTGTTCTAAAAGCACCCCTCAAGGCTTACTTAACTTGTGTACCCTCTTGTTGGATCGCTAATAGTAAGCGAACGTCTGTCTACCTTTTAAACCAAATAAACTCATTAAAAGCAAAATTGTTTTTCATTGAACCGAAACCCAGTCAATAAGAAGCCTCAGGTCTTAGCGGAAATAGAAGAGAACATACCTGTAAAAATGTAAGTGGATTGAAAAGCTATATCAAGATTGGAACCTACAAGTCCCAATCTTGATATAAGATTTCGGCCGTGAAGCAGTAATGCGTTTCAGTTTGAAGGCGGGGTAGCCGTTGTAACTACTGAGACCTTAGAACTCATATCTCAAGGTGGGTGTCGGCATTTATGTTGTAAATGTCCATGTGCTTCAGTAACCACTTAACACCAGGTGGGCTGTGAACTCGTCCACCTATCTAATTAATTAAAAAAAAACCGTTAATATAGTCGTTTCTCCTATTTTTTTTCCTACCTAAGCTGGTAACTAAGGGGGTTGTACCAACGTAACCGAAGGAGTCAGAAAAGAAGATCAGCACGACGAATGATTTGTTTGGCTGGCCGACAGGACGGTCAAGAATGTCGAGAAGTTTTCATTACGAAATCTCGTATCTATTTGTCGTTTGATGCGACCATAATATCACGTTGTTGGACTCCAAAGTGTAGCTCTTGATAAGTTGATAGCTAATTTAAGCAGCTATTGTTCAAATAGTTTGCTTCAAACTCGCCAGGCTACACTAGCATAACCCTCTAAGGTTACTACCAGCATAGGTAGGAAAAAAAAGGTTTTGAAAATAAAAATTCGTACGGACGCTTTCGATCAATAGACGTATTAATGGGCTCACTGGGAATTTAAATGTTTTTATGATCGAGCAATCACCAATAGTCGTCAAACAAACGATAATTGATCAAAATTAATTAATCTGAGCGATAAAAATAAAGATATCCAGTAAAGAGGGACAACTTAAGGGTGATCATTTGTTTAATTAATTATAAATAACTAAAAGACGAACAAACAATTTTTACATTCGAACATTAACGTACAAATAATTCAAAATAAGAAAAATCCGAAAATAAAAAAAAGTGGGGCCAAATTCAGTGAGCTGTAATAATGAGCACTAAAGGAATTTTAAATATTCATAGTACCAACCACAGACTACATACATAATCACGGTCAAACTAAAATTCGGCTTGGAGGCTCGTAGCACTGAAGTATATTATAAAGGTCTATGGTTAAAGAACTCATTGTAAAGGTTCATTTAAGAAAGAGTTACTTTTTTAATACAGCCCATCCGATGTTGGTGATTTATCGCTCAACATGAGACTCAGAAAGACCAGGAGCACAACTAAGCCACTGAGAATTCTCCTTAGCTCGTTTAAAGAAGTACATGTAATAGTGCTCAGAAAACGCCATGGAGGGTAATTCATTCCATCCGACGATGATACGTTACAAAAAGATTTCTGATAACTGTGATGAACCCAGTGTTTCTAAATATAGTACGAATCCTATGGTTCTAGGCAGTATGAACCCAATGGTTCTAGGTGGTAGTTTGGAAAATCTTGGCCCTGATGGCGTACAGTAAATGTCAAAAATCTGTCGAAATTATCACAAACAATTTATCAAAGTACTCTTAATGGAATATACAGCACAAAGCACAGAGAGAACCGAACGAACCTCCGTAGAAACATCGAAGTCCAATACTCTCAGAAGGTTGTAGGTATTTACTTTACCACAACCACTACAAACTACTTTTGGGTTTTACTATTTGGAACTGCAAAGACAATGCCATAAATGCTACATTTTTCTAATGAAACTACGGATTATGCGGAAAAAGTATTAGGTAGTAGGTACCTAGTTGGTTTTTCAATACGTGCATGCTTATAGTTTGCTCTTCGGTACCTACAGCATGTACATATTTAATTATGATATGATGATTACTCTCTTTTATGATGAAGCAAGTTCGTGGCGTTCAATATGGACAAAAGTTACTATTATTGATTTTCTATATGTATAGATAGTTAAAATCTTTTTCTTGAAAATTATAATTATGTACATTTTAAATATTTTAAGACTATTTTTGATACAAATTAATATTATTTTAAATGGATATACATATTTATTTTTATATTGTACTGCCAATAACGACAAGAGTGTTTTTTTTTTAAATAATAAACGACAGCACTTTTTTATTTTGGCAGCACCGAATTAATCGATGACAGCGACGGATTTCTTCAGAAGAGTGAACGTTGATGACGACATTTTGTCAATAAAATACTAAACCCTTGACGATATTAGTTCGTATTCCTAGTGTTTAGTGTTTAACTAGTCAGCAGAATGGCGGACAACGAACAAAAAGCGATGCAGCTAATGGCCGAGGCGGAGAAAAAATTAAGTTCATCAAAATCGTTCCTGGGGTCACTTTTCGGGTGAGAACAATGAACAATGTAATATTTTTCAAGTTCTTCCAGTTTCCGATTCTAGATAATTAATCTCCAAAAAAAATTCCAGAATTACGCTATTTTTTTCCTGTTCTATAATTAATTTTTTTTTTTTAGTACTTTAGAAGAAATCCTTCAGTTTTAGTAAAGATTAATGCACCTTGCACCTAATTGTCTTAAATTATATTGGATATTTTATGTTAAATTCAAAATCTTATGTGCTACGGCACACATTCACAAGTAAATTATTAGTAAATTATCAGCACGCAATTAAACTTTAAAAGTAAAGAAAAATCAAGACTGCAAATATTTATTTTTTCAGTTCTATGGCATGATTAATTAGTGATTGACTCACTGTGGTTTGTGTACATATGTGGAGCAATTTATATTAGAAGTTAATTAAAAGCGTAACTGAAATAAGGTTTATGCTTAAATAAAAATTCTAATTGTACAAGATGTGTTTTAAAAAAATTTATACTAATTTTTCACTCCAATTTGTTGTTATGCTGCACTTTTGCAATTATTAAGTTATCAGATTAGAATGAACATACTAGATCGCTTAACATAATTAGTTTCTAGCTGATATTTTTTGAAAATTGTCATGATTATATTGCAGTAAAATGAAATAGCTGCTCATCTATGTATCAAGAGTATTGTTGTTTAAGTCCGTATTAGGTAAAATCACAAGAAGCTTCGAAAGACAGAATGCTCAAATAATTGTCATAGTAGGCTGGGGTCACAGATTGCCAGCTTAACTATTATTATGCAAGATACACTAATCAATAATTTCTTCTTTTATGAAATTATGCTTTCAATACTTTTAATATTTATATAATAATATTTAGTAGTTTTTTATTCTTTATATAGGTGAACAAGTTCACAGCACATGTTGTAAAGTGGTGGTTACTGGAGCCAGATAGACATCAAAATTTGAATGCTACAACAATCTTTAAACACTTTTAAGTCTCAATTGTGTATAATAACATTCCTTCACCCTTCAAAATGCAATGCAGCAGGATCGTGTAGCACTCAGCCTTGTTGGCTTATGATATACCATATTATCAGTAAATTATAATTATGAACTGTTTATGTAATACTCTGCTACTGTGTTATCTCCAGGGAATCCCTTAGTGGCCATTTACATCACCCACAGTTAGAGATGGGGTGTACCCCACAAGATGTACTAGTTTACTTGGCATTAAGTGATTAGATAAGCCCACAGTTTACTGGGTACACATAACCCAAATTTTTTTTTTTGTAATTAAATTTGAATATTTAATGGGATACAATATATATAATTTCAATTGGACAGGTTTTTACTATGAGTATAACATACATAGTACGTAACAAAACTGAACCAAAAGTGTAAATACTCATAATAAATAAAGTATAGTTAGACGTACTGGTGGTAGAAACATCGTGTAATAAAAATGAATCCCGCAAAATTATAATTTGACTAATTACTGGTGGTAGGACCTCTTGTGAGTCTGCGCGGGTAGGTACCACCATCCTGCCTATTTCTGCCGTGAAGCAGTAATGTGTTTCGGTTTGAAGGGCGAGGCAGCCGCTGTAACTATACTTGAGACCTTAGAACTGATATCTCAAGGTGGGTGGCGCATTTACATCGTAGATGTCTATGGGCTCCAGTAACTACTTAACACCAGGTGGGCTATGAGCTCGTACACCAATCTAAGCAATAAAAAAAAAAACAACAGCTCTATTGTATAATCTGTTCATCAGAGGCTCCTCAAAAATCGAAGAGGCCGTAGACTGTTATCTCAGAGCAGCTAACTTATTCAAGATGGCCAAGAAGTGGCCTCAAGCAGGGCAGGCTTTCTGTAATGCAGCACAGCTCCACTTGAAAGCTGGTGTTCGCCATGATGCTGCCACCAATTTTGTAGATGCTTCTAACTGTTACAAGAAATGTGATGCTAACGGTAAGTTCATTATACAATTTCTATTATGTAGTTCATGTCATACTTTAATTTATTAGGATCTATATAATTGTTTGATTCTTTTAATAACTAAACAGGTCAGAATAGTCAACAAGGTTGTATAGCAAAGATTAGCTTGGCAATGAAGATATTTACTATAAATTCCAATTCTTACCAATTCTCATCTGTGTAAATATTTTAAACACATGTGGAAAACGTAACGCAATTTGCTTAAAGATGTTTCTTAGCCATCTTTTACCTGATGGTGTATCCAGCATACTTAACTTTCAATAATTATCAGCAAATGTTGTTTGTTATTTAAAGTTTCCATGATCATGTGTGCTTACACAATTTATCGTTTGGACCTTCTGAGAGTGATTCGATTTCCCAATTAACTTTGTTCCTCCCACGTTAATTAGTGAGTGGCACAGTGCTAATGATTACCTCCTGAACAATATCATAATTCATTTGCTTAAATAGTTTTGTCAGAACCCATTCCAAACCCTAGTTGTATTGGCGAACTAAATGACTTTTTTTTTTGCATTGGTCTGTGGCTGGAAGGTAAAATAAATGGCATGTGTTTTTTTTCCATATTTGGTCATGTTCATTATCCTCATTTGAACAAATAATCACTGCAGACTTTAATATGATTTATACTACCAAAAATCATAACAGTAAAATGATGATAAATTTACATTTCCATTTTAATGACTCAACTGCTATCAGTTTTCAACTATCTTTGCAACACATTTTTAGTCTATAAGTATATATAGTTCAAAGGCTTCACACAAAATTACTTGCATTCTTTCAAATTAATATTTTAATCAAATGTACATTTGAAAATAAACAGAAAGCACACATAACGTCCGTCTGGTGTAGTGGTAAGTGACATGGTCACTACACTAGGGGGTCGCGGGTTCGAATCCCGCCAAGGGAAGATATTTGTATGATAAAATATAAATGTCTTTTCCAGGGTTATGGGTGTATATTAAATATATGTATGTGTATAGTAAAAATCTTACATTTATTTCCGATATCTGGTACCTGTAACACAAGTTCTTTACGAACTTATCACGGGACCAGTTAACGTGGCGTGATTGTTAGTAAAATATTTATTTAAATATTTATAGTTAAACATAAATCTTTTATAAGTAGCACAAAGCGGTTTTTAATTAGATTAGATCAAATCTTGAACTATTGGCATACCACGACTAGATGATGTGCGTGTGTCAGTCATTTACAATTCTACCAACAACGCAACTATTACTTGTTTTGGTAGCGTTAATTTTTGCGCCTATTGTTATTGCGTTATCAACTTGTCAGATAATAATGATCAAACGATACAAGTTCTAGGTTACGTGATATGCTCCCTAATATCACAGATAATGCGAATTGCGCGTGTGTTACGGCTTTTTGTAAATATTGGTTCGTCTTAAGTTTATTTTTAATTTATTTTATTGCTTAAATGTGTGGACGAGCTCACAGCCCACCTGGTGTTAAGTGGTTACTGGAGCCCATAGAAATCTACAACTTAAATGCGCCACACACCTTGAGATATATGTTCTGAGGTCTCAAGTATAGTTACAACGGCTGCCTCACCCTTCAAACCGAAACGCATTACTGCTTCACGGCAGAAATAGACGCGGTGGTGGTACCTACCCGCGCGGACTCACAAGAGGTCCTACCACTTGTAAGTTTTAAGTCTGCTTTTCACAAAGAAATGAACTGATGTTATCCTTCCGTATGTTTCCACTTCTATAGGTTGCTTAAATATACTGCAAAACGATCATTTGAAGGTTAGGACCATGAATCTCGGGTTTCAAGGCGCCAGTGGCATTCACATGTTTATCGGACCACAAAATATACATTTCGAATCTAACATAATAAAAACGGGGATCGCGTTAAAAGTTCTAGACTCCAATCGCATTTCAGCCTGTCAGGCCAACCATGAGAATAACAAAAACTTGAATTTCATTTATTGGGAAATCAGTATAATAGCGTAGCGTAGGTAAATATTAAAGTTACGTAATCAGGGTTTTGATTCATAACTTTATTGTACACTTTTAATACTGGTTGGCACTCCGGAGTCCGGAGTAGTGGAGAATTTTTTTTTATTGCTTGGATGGGTGGACGAGCTCACAGCCCACCTGATGCTACGTGGTTACTGGAGCCCATAGACATCTACAACGTAAATGCACCACCCACCTTGAGATATAAGTTCTAAGGTCTCAAGTATAGTTACAACGGCTGGCCCACCCTCCAAACCGGAACGCATTACTGCTTCACGGCAGAAATAGGCAGGGTGGTGGGACTTACCCGCGCGGACTCACAAGAGGTCTTACCACCATTAAAAACACATTATGTTTAGTGAAACATTGATTAAATACGAAACTCAGGCATTTAACAGTTGGCTTCTGTAGTCCCCGATGTAAGATATAAGACCATGTGTTAATGAAACACACTAGAGATACTTAAATTAGCATTGAGTGGCATATAGGAGAAGATAACGTAAATGAAGATATGAAAATGAAATTGTTAACAAATGAAAAGAAACTTCCTATGACCCTAATTTGACTTAATTGCCAATCGCCCTGAGCTATGACTCAGATTAATGGTTTTTGTTTGTTACATAGATGGATGAATAATTCGGCAGCCTACTACACGGTTTGAAGTGGCTACCGGAGTCCATGGACATCATTAACCTATATATTAATTCCACGTTACAGAGGCCGTGTCCTGTCTCCTGAAAGCGATCGAGATCTACACCGATATGGGTCGTTTCACTGTCGCTGCCAAACAACACCAGGTATGTATATTATTATATTACTTACTGTTTTGGTTCGAATTTTCGGTGGATGCACTACATTTTTTTTTTTTTTTT